GTTTTCATTCTCATCTATCACCCTTCACTGGTGCTCCGCCAGCGTATCCCGTTAGCGCAGGCGGGATTACCATTCCATTTTCATCCAATAGAAAAAAAAAACCCGTCCAAATTCAGACATAACCTGCTTGCATACTTTCTACATAATCTGTGTCAAATATATATTCTAGTAATTTAATATTTATCATTGATAAATAATTGACATATCAAACATTTTGTACATACACTACCCTGCTATAAAATGAAAAAAATAGCAACTAATGGTCAATCTTTTGTCCTCTTTTCGCTAATTATATTTGCATAAGAAGAAAATAGACAACTATATGATTCACAGTTTTTATTTTATCATTCCTTCTATGTAATTCCTTGATCTTAGGTCGTAACGGATCGTTTGTTAACGGTGGCTCCTAAAAAAAATGAAAAAGAAATAAAATTTATATTTAATGATAAGAATTGGAATTTATCACCAGTTGAAAGGCAAGTTGAAACAGTCAGGAAAACTGTGGGCCCACAAGAACGCATTCGTCTAGCTATCGGTGTGTGACTTGCACATATTCGTATCCCATCATTCAAACCGAATGTTGGGATTAGATTAAATGATTTTAAGCTAGTATTTTTATGAAAATAATTGGAATTATCATATAGTAGTAGGTACTTACCTTGATACGTATCGACAAAATCTTGCCTATCTTCACATACTTAGTGTATTAAATTGTAACAATTCCATTGTGTATTATATATAATATAATGATCTGCGAAATTAAAACGTTCTGCTTTTTTTAATAAGTGAAAATTATATAGTGATCCCGCCTGCGCAACACGGGGAATTATAGGTGAGGATGAAATAGGTCAGTTGACCCATTATGATGCCTTTGTCCTTACCCATATACTTATTATTAAAAATATTATGAGTTACTGAAAATTTTAAGATTGATTAAGCCGTCAAAGCACCGAGAAGTAACAAATAAACATACAGACAAATAAAGTCATTTTCATTTATATTGTCTTTAAAATGTATTTATAAAAATTGTTACAAAATTAAAAAAAATTCTAGAATACCATCTATATTAAACTTATTTCTATACCGAGTAATTTTCTCTTTTTCCTAGAATGAAATTATTAGTATCAGTTTAAGCCAATAGATTGCGCTGTAACAAAATTATTTAAAATAATACTATAATAATTTAACAGATGGCGTTTTAGTTACTTTCTCACACAGAATATGTTAAAAAACTATAATAATTTCCGACTTCACTTCAAGCCTTTTTCATTTACAGACATTAGATTTTTTTATAATTGAATTTCGAGTTCCTATTTTTTTATTAAGTAGTTAACCACATATACATTGTTACAAGATTTGCTAAATTGCGTTCCGTTACACGCTTTACAATGCATAAATGAAACATTCTAGAGGTAAATATAATCATTATAATGAACAAAGACAACTTCAAATTTTAAACAGATCGCCAAACACTGGTTATAAAAAATATCTTAAATAATTTACTGTAGAAAAAACTAAATAATTATGCCATTAACATTTTCAAAAAGATTTTTTATTTTCCGTTGCGTTGTGAAAAACGGTAAGTCATAGAAAAAGAAGAGACTACCAAAGATTTCTTGTTCTTAGGGTTCTTAGGTTCTTTATTTTAAATGTGTATGAACCCTTCATATCATATTTATCATAAAGTATTTTTTGCTGTCCTTTTATGTTTTTTGTATTATTTTATATTTGTACCAATTATTATCGTAAAATGAAACACTATTAAAAACCAAAAGTACAAAGTTAGCATAGTTAGAAAACGATTTCTTAGAAGATTAAGAACTGAAGCACAGAAAGAATAGTAAAATAAAAAAAACGCAGTTAATTTTCTTTCTTCTTCTTATGAAAAAACTGTGAGAAATTAGCTGTGTAATTAATTAGTAATTTTTCCAGAAGACTTGACAATTTTCATTTATTTTTTTGTGTCCCGTATTACATGTTTCTTTCATATTTATTTAGAAATATGAGAAAATTATTAATTTATTTCAGACAAATTTTTAAATAAGAATACTTCTTTAAACTCTAATCTAAAACCACCAACATTCGTAATGCTCTCAGTACAAATTCAAAACTTGTTTGATTTTTACGCTTCGCATCAATTGTACTCGATTCTACTTCAAAACTTTTGTCCTTTTCATACAAAGGAAAGATAAAATGAAATAGCGATAAACCTTGTTGTTTGGGATATTGTTTCTTCGTAGCTCGGAATAGGGTTTACGTACTTTGTAAATGTCAAAATAACTCTTTCGATGCCAAATAAATTATTGTTGTTTTAGTTAGTTAAGTGTTAAATTTTATAAAAATGCATCGAAATCGAGTTACTCGCGCGAAATTTTTTTATAGCTTTGTGCTATAAAACGGCATATTCCGTTTCAAAGCTGCGTTTTTTATGAGTCTCAATAACTTGTTATGTCAATTGTTTTGTAGTGTTATTTATCTATTATTGGTTAAAAAGTTATGAAAGAAATAAGTTATTCTGTTATATAAATTGTGCCGATTATTATTTGTGGCTTAAAGTTCCCGTTAAGTGTCGTTTTAGTGTAAATTTCGATGTGAAGTGAAAGTGTTGAGGTTAGTTTTTGTTCCCGCTTTAAAAAAGCAACTATTCCCAGTTCCTGGCTCCGGTTTGGTGAGTAATAGCGAGTAAGTTTTATTATGAGGGATTTCCATTAAAATTTTTATTATAATGTATTTTTTTGTTGAGTTAAATTACAGTTTATGTTTGTCATGAGAAAGAGGCAGGTATCTGTAATGAAAACATGAATATTTGGTACTATTCTTTAACATTAGGCTTAAATTTACATTCATCAGCACTCTTTTTTTATTCAAGAATAGAAAATGTAAAATTTGTTGAGGTCTAAATAAAGTACTTCCAAAGTTATACAATGTAAAATGTTAAACATTACCTATATTCTGAAATGATATGACATGCAGTTATTTGTTTATAGTTTGACAAATTAACTATAGTATTAGTTATAAGGAAGCTGACTATTCCTGTAATTAGTATGTTATTTTAATATCTTTGTCACAAATGACATTTCAATACAATATGATTTTTAGGTAATAATGTGATTAAAGATGAATGATTATCCAACACATAGAGGATAATCGAGGAGAGATACAGGAGGAGGCTTATGTTCAGTGGATAATAGTTTGTGAATTGAAAATGATATGTCATAGCAATTTATCAAATAATTTTTTAAATAACTTTAAATAATCATTGAATTAGTGTTTGATGTCACAATTTTTAATTGTGAGATCATTATTTTGATATAGTTCATTAGCCAAAATGTAAGATATACTACTACGCCTTACATACAATTTTGATCGGGTTTGATTCCTGGCTGTTGCTTCAATGTTCGGGATTGGACATTTTGAGGTGTCTGTTTGTAGTTACTGTGTGTTCTTGAACATTATGTTTGTATGTCACCATAGTATTTGATCATTATTAAAAAAAAAAATGGAGAATAATATTTTCTGGTACAAATCCCTCACTAAAATATGATATTGATACATCAGTGTAACTAATAACTTTAAAGTATTGTTATGTTGAATGACCATGACAACCTGTAAATGTCCCATTACTGGGCAGAGGTTTCTCTTTATTAAAGAAGAATGTTAAGCCTACCATTACCACATTGGCCAGGTGGTTTGGCATAGAGTTTTGTTTTAAGTTTTTCTCCTCTTGTATGTATGTTTTGTTGTGTTCCCTTCTAACAACTTTCTGAGGATGGCAACAAGTGGTGATATTATATTTCTACTTCATGACCAAATGATTTTTTTATAATTTAAAAATTTAATACTATTTTTAAATTATAAAAAAAAAACAAAACAACAGTCTAACATTTAAGTGAAAAATCCTATTTACATCCATAAGCTGTAGTAAAACTTACTACAGTGTGGGTGGTATGTTTGTTTACAATTGCCATTACTGTTGTATATACAACAGTGTTGGGTGTCAATCTTGATGACTATGGTGACATATCAATAAAAGTAGGTTTGATCCCTGTACAATATGAATAGTAATCTTGAGTATGTTTGTTTGTATTAATCTGGATGTATTGACCGTACTAGCCACAACTCATATGTATGACAGCACAAGTGTGAGGCTTATATATTATACAAACATTATAGGGTAGGATCTTATCACCATGTCTTGGACTACTTAAGTTGGATATTTATTGTTAGTTACAGTTATAACAATGAAGTTATATTTCTTCATGATTTGCCATTGTGTTTGTGGCAAGTCTGCGACAATAATCTAAAACTGTTTGTTTGTTCCTAACAATTCCTTTGATATAATAATTTTTAAGGTTTATATGGTCATGAGTCAACAATATCATATATGTTGCAAGAAATAGAGTTATTACATCTCAGGATAGTACTTATGGAAAATACTGTTTAGCCATAGACAAAGGATCGGTTGACTTGATGATGACTATGATGATGATCATGTATATGTAATATGTCACTAATTCCTGGAGTTACTGTGTATAGATATATTAGACAGTCTGTATATTCTGTGATGCCCAAATGTGTATAGTATATTCTGTGATGCCCAAGTCTATATAGTACCTTCTGTGATGTCCAAGTCTATATTGTGTATTATGTGATGCCCGAGTCTATATAATACATTTTTTAATGCCCAAGTGTATATAGTACCTTCTGTGATGCCCAAGTCTAATTTTGTGTATTATGTGATGCCCGAGTCTATATAATACATTCTTTGATGCCCAAGTGTATATAGTATATTCTGTGATGCCCAAGTGTATATAGTATATTCTGTGATGCCCAAGTGTATATAGTACATTCTGTGATACCCAAGTCTATATTGTGTATTATGTGATGCCTGAGTCTATGTAATACATTCTGTGATGCCCAAGTCTATATAGTATATTCTGTGATGCCCAAGTGTATATAGTATATTCTGTGATGCTGAAGTCTATATAGTATATTCTGTGATGCCCAAGTCTATCGGGGACCGTTATTGCTTTCCACCAGGTAGATTAATAATAATAGACAACTTGGATAAAGGTTGTCAACTGCACTAATTGAATTGATTTCAACTATGAAATTAAGAAAGATAAAAATATAAGAGAAAAACATCTTTTATCTCCTTATTTTATAATTTTTTTTTATCATTTTGACTTATACTGAAGTGAGGTTTTAATAACAAAAAAAGGTTGTGTGATGATGATGATTATAATTATAAATGTTATTGTGATGATCAGTGTAACCTATGTGGCCTATGTTCAGAATATTATCGCATAATTAAATATAAAATCAATGAGTGGAATACCATTTATGAAATTTGTAGTGGTTTTTTAAATAATTTTATAGTGGATTTGAGTCCTACTTTCAAGACAATATTGAAATACTAGTCACATTTCAATTCAATTTTATAGTATGAATCATTTGTAATAGTTATTTGATAGTGGTATAGATTGTTATTATAAATTTTAAAATGTAATTGTTTACCAATGGATTCGAATCCCATTCAAATGAAATCATAGTTGGCGGATCAACTATTTGAAATGGATCAACTTTGATTACTTTATTTCTTATCTTATTTCAAATTTAAAATAAAGTTAAAAATAAAGTCATGTCATGTCAACCATATTATTTTCCAAATAGTTACATAGATTTATAAGTATGTACATAATTTTTTGTGAGATACTTTGGAAATATTTTATAATAATACTTTATAGTGACAAAAATAGAATAGTACTATTTAGTTATCTATGAAAACGATTTCTGCCTTTATCAATTTGGAAATCCTTCAATTGAATTTCTTATGAACTTTTAAAAACCATGGTGCCATTACATCGAACTTTTTTAATTTAATTGAAATTGTATATTAAATATATTTATTTGATTTTTATTTAATAATGTTTTGTAACTTGTTATTAATTATATTAATAAATAAAGACGAAATAAAAAAAAATATACCCCAAATTCAGCAAATAAAGAACTGCGGAATGGCTCGTCTAATTATTTACCTATCCCATCCTTCATTCCTGTCAACACTTTAATTTTATTTTTAATTTTTTATATTTTTTTGTGCATGTTTTTCTAATTAGGTATTTTAAAAGTATTTTAGAACAACATGCACGATTAAAATAAATATTAAGTAATACGATCTATAATAATGTGTTTTATTTATATCCATTACTTATGGTATGGTTAATTTTGGGTTTTTCCATCAGTTCCGGCGCAGTTTATTCCCGGGAGAACGGGTGCTGGTCTGCTAATATTGAACGGCTTCACATTTTACATGAAGAATCACCAAGCGCACGGGAAGAAACAGTGGTACTGCTCATCGAGAGACGTGCACGGATGTCGTGCTGACGTCATCACGTACAAGGGTCTCGACGGACGGGACTACATTTCAATATTTCGCGGGAGACATATACACAATCCCCCACGCTTACGACAATGTCACGACGGCAGATATATAAGGGAAAAAGACATTTTTGCAAAAATGTTAAAGTGACTGTAAATGAATGATGTAGGTTGTATTAGTTTTTTATGAATAATTTTAAAAGATCATGTGATGTACTTATTGATACTACTTATACTGACGTGTCTTCTAAACGCAAGTTTCTGCTGTAGGGACCTGCTAGTTTGTAGGCAGTATAATTTTATGAGGAATTTTAGAAATACAGTATTCTGGTACATTTGTCTGGTTTTATTTTTTGACGAGTCCTTTTTTGTTTTTTTTTTTTATATAATAAGATGATTTATATTGAAATTTAGTTCTGTTCACACTGAGTTTCGCGAAATGGACAGACAAATTGTATTTTTACAAAAAAAAAAGTCTGTAGTCAAATTGAGAATAGTATAATATTGTTTGTCTTTAATATTAATTGTCTATAGTCTTACTGACTGTCAAACATAACCATAATAAATTCATTTATAATAATATACGTTATGAACGAATTTCGACCACTGGGCCACCACTGGTAATAATTACTTTTTCTTATTGTTGTAGATTTATTAAATTCCCCCTTATTTTGGTACATATATTAAAAAAGTGTTTAATTCCAGGAATTTATTATCTCCCGTCACACCGTACAGGGAGTATGGTGTTAATATTTAAAGATAACAAGTATTGGATCAACAATCGATACCAGAACACTATAAATTGGACGTGCCGCGACAGAAAGCGTCTCGGGTGCAACAGTTGTGTACAAACGACAGTTGAGGGAAGGTACATCAAGCACAAAGGTTTCCATAACCACGAGGACAACTATACGAAATATAATTTTAATGACTGATCCAAAGCCATGCCAGTTATAACTTCTGTCAAAAGTTATAGTGAATAATTTATTGTGTTCGCAGCGTCATTTGGTAAGTTTCGACCATTTGCTGCAAACGCGAAAAAGGACTGATTTAATCTTAGTTTTTAGTAAGTTAATATTATTATTGTATATGTACATAGCTCTCCGGGAGATGGCGTTTGAGTCTGAGGTTAATACCATATTTTTTTTAATTTAGTTGCACATAGTGCTACTTAAATGATTTTTAACAACTTTTGTACGTCGTATATATATGTAAGTGGAGGCTAGTGAGTGACTCTTACTCTGTACTTACTTCCTTATTCTGTGATGAAAGCAAGCGGAGCTCAGTTTAATATATGTTACATTACCTTTTTTTTAACCTTAGGGCGTTTATAATATTTAGAGCCACAATTCGCAGGTATTTTATTTGTTAAACCTTTATAAAAATATCACTAAATTATGGGTACTATTCTGTATGTGTCCATAATTTTAAAGTGTATCTGTATAAATCTATTATATCCTTAATAATTGAATATACAGTCGTCTTCTGTTTATTCATATGTACTTCATTAGGTTTATGAAGTGTACTTGATACTCATTTTAATCTTAAAAACAAAAAAGCAAAGTCTGTATCTAAGTGTTTTGACGGTTGATCCAGATTTGATCCTTCAGTGACATTTTAGTAGCGGTTGGCTTTAGTTTCTATCACAAAATTAAGTATATATTTTTTCTAGAGAAATAATTGATAAAGGTTCCTAAAGACTTCTAACAAAATCTGTATGAGTTTTTAGTAATTATTACTAATTAGTTGGTGCCAAACGATTAACACTAGGCTCTCAGCAGCGATCTAATAATTTGGCTGAAAATACCTCGTTTAGAAGTGAAACACGTGACGCAAAACGTGTGTGGACGAAATAGCATTTGGATATTGATAGTTAATATGGAAGATCGTAAAGTTCTGGTAATAACAAATTCAGTCAGTCTTCAAGTGTTGGCAGTTACATTCATACTAATGCTAGCGGAATTAAAAAAAATAATTTAACCAAATAACCATTGATATGTACTCTCGCTTACTTTTTCGCTTTCGCTACTTGAATGTCATGTGTTGAAGAAACAGAATATAAAGATCTCTTTGTCTGTATTTACAGAATAAGTCAAATTAAGGAATTTTCTTGAACTAATTAATTGAATGTAAGTTAAATTTAGTTAATCGACTGAAAAAATCTTTAAATATGTCTAATGTGATTGTTGTCACAGCGTCCGTCGTTTAAATCCTTAAATAGTCTAATTTCTAATTGTCTCAGTCTAGTTTGAAGATTGAAATTAAAGTAAAACGTGAAAATATTGTAAAAATATTAATTTAGCATTTATTATTCCCATATTAAAGTTATCTGTTACTTCTGTCCAACAAAATACGGTGTTGTGTGTGCTCGTGGGCGACGGTAGTCATTTACCATCAGGTGAGCCACATGCTCGTTTGCCCCTTGTGTTATAAAAAAAAATACATAATTTCTTTTTTTTTTAACCTGCGGAAATGTAAGGAACTGGAAACTTTGTTAACTTAGTTTTTCCTCCCATAAAAAAAATTACCGTTACAGTGAGTAATCTGCGTTACGAGGTCTCGAGTTTGATTCTTGGTCGGGCCAGTTCACGAAACGAACTTTTCGAAACTTTAACTAATTTTTTTATAATACAGTATTCTAGTTTGAAGACAGTATTTACTGATAATTTTAAAATTAGCTTTTAATGACGATTTTTATTTTGAATTAAATAAAAAAATGAATTAGTAAGAAAGAATAAGTTTGTGAGCTCGTATGTAGCACGAGTCTTAAGATTGTGAAATGGTCTTTTTCGTGATGCTTTTCTGTTACTTCAGATATTTCAAACGTAGTGTGAAAGAGTATTTAGCAGGTGTAGTGTGGCGAACCGTTGAAAGAAGAATATAATCATAGACTTTACTGTTTCAGTGTTCACTCAAGACCGTGTGGTCAAATGTGCTATTATAAAAAAATATAATTTGTTAATTATGTGTCAGTTGCTATTTTTGTCAATTCATAGCAGGTTAGTGTATAGAAAATGTTATACGGCCGTATAACCTTACCAAATTTAGATACAACCTGGTTGCATATCTTCTACATAAACTGTGTCGAATATATAATCTAGTAATGTAATATTTGCTTTGATAAACATTTTCTATACACTAGCCTGCTATAAATTGAGAAAAATGGCAACTGATGGTGTATCTTTCGTTCTCTCTTTACTAATTATATTTGCATAAGAAGAAAGGAGGCAACCATATAATTTACAGTTTTTATTTTTCATTCATTCCTTCTATGTAATTCCTTGTTCTTAGGATAAACCAAACTTTTGTACAAAATACATCAGTGCCAACTGTGCCATTGGTGGGCATTAAATGTAAAATCTAATTCTGTTTCACTCTAACGCATAACGTACTTTGACATTACTATCTTGAGAGGTACCTACATAGTTTAGATTTTGATCGTTCAATCGAGTCTCGTTGATTTTGCATTTTTTGTTTAAATAATGAATAATGATTGAATACTTACCCGTCAATACTTAATTGTAATGTAATTACGATACATTTATGTAATAATTATATATAAAAGAAATAATTTAGCATTCCTACTCCCCTAGTCTTAGCATTTTTACTATTATAAGTATTGTTCATATTTTAGTAATCTTATGATGTACTAATATACTCATATATAGTTTTAGAGAGTCCATAACGTAACTAGAAGCTTCTTAAAGCCTTAGAGATATTTAATAAAAATATTATAATAAAACATATTCTAGAAACTACCTAATTTGCCAAATTAAAATTAAAATATCCTGTAATCGTGCCGAAATATTCTTAGCCAATTTATACTGTAAAGAAAAAATAACAAGTTAAGCGATATAGTTTAAATATATAAAAAATATTAATACAATTAAAATTACGTATCAATTAATAATATCAGATAATTTTTATATACTTGTAATTTTTAAAGGGTTAATAATTTATAAAAAAAAAAATAATGATGTAATTAAATTGTATTTTTAACGTGAAGGTCAAAAATAAGTACCTACATAAGTATGTATATAATATTAGTTTCGGTTCCTTTTTTTCATTTGTTATTTTATTCGTAAAATTAATTACATAAATTATTTCGTTTATTTTAAATTTAAAAAGAATATCGTGGATAAAATTTTTCATATTTTTTTTATAAAAAAAATGTCAAATGGTGCTGCAACGATGTCATCGGTACTTTATAAGCAATATTAAAAAATATGGAATACATTTTGATAGATTCTATCATAAAATACCAATTATTACTGGGAAGGTACGAATTTCACTTGTTTGTTTTTTATGCATTGTGACAATAGTCTTAAATACTATTTTAATGAATCAATTCCACCTAGTGGCAAATATAAGTACTAGGAACTAGTTGTGATGGACGCCCATGATGTCCGTTGATCGGCGTTTTAGATCTAAAAAATCGCATTATGCGCTTGATATAATCTACATTCTTACATTTTCATTAAAAACAGCTATTACAACTAATTCATATTTGCAGTCTTTTGTCAACTTATTATTATATTTTAATTATTTATATCTGCTTTTTAACCTATTGAACTTATACTAACTGTAGAGAGTTCAATTTTACTTATGAGGGGTCGGGTTTTTTAAATAAATCGACTAGTGTCACTTTTTTTAGAAGGTTGAAAAATACTACTTACATTATTATTAGCAAGCAGTGTTTTTCAACCAATTGCATAAAAATATTATGAAATTTGTGGTATATTAAAATTTTTTTTTATTTTTATTTTGTAAATTATTATAGGTTTATGTTTTTATATTTCTTTTTTAATTTACAAATTAAGACTAAACACTAGTGAACCTTACGCTTCGTGTCATTATATACTGCTAGTAGTCTCATTAGTGTTGGCCTTATAAAAATTTGTACATTTGTTTTTTAATTTTATATTTTGTTGCACTTGTGGACTTATTTCAATAGGCACACATTACAGAGAATTAACAATCGTTTTTACAAAATTATTGTTGCAAAAAAGTAACTTATTTGCAGAATTACGTATATTATTATATTATATATATTTCTAATAATAATAATTGACAAAAATGATTAATATATATATATATATATATATATATATATATATATATATATATATATATATATATAATAACTCCATCTTTTGACTCTTGACGAGCAACTGTATACTAGTGTTTAGTTTTTACGTTGTAAGTATAGATGGCATTACTGTATTACAAAGTTTTGTTCACATTTACAGGTTTTTATTCTTACTGTAAAAATAATTATTTATTATCGCTTACAAACATATTAAGTAAGTTAAGTACGTACTTATTTAATTTATAAGTTATATACGAATAAAATTATCCTAGTCAATATTTTTCGTAGACCTATGTAAAGGTTTTATATATGAAATTGTGCCAAACACGAATTGTTTTTGTTTATAATAGAGCTCTTTAAATTGTGTACTAGTATGTATCTATATTATTTTACGTTGATATTTAGTAAATAATCGTGATATGTATTTTTATATAAATAATAGTACATAAAATAAACAAGACAGTAACAATTTTGTATTTGTTAACTATGTATTGTTGTGTACTATATTCTTTATTTGTTTAAATTCTTTCTTTCTTTCATTATATTTTCTCTGTAAAAAATTTGAAAAAGAAAATACATGTCAAGAATATTTACTAAATATATCAAGTGAAAAAAAGCGTACTGACTTTTGCAGTAATAGAATTGGAATCATGTCGAAAAGACGTCAAGTAGTAGTATAGTAACGACCATTTGACGTCTATTCAATGTATTCGATTTAATCCTTATTCGTCTACGTCAAAAGTCAGCTTGCTGATTATTATTACTGATCTCTGAAGGTGTGATGTGTGATGTAGACATCATCGAATTCTACGGCAAGGTAATTAGGAGACGTTCATTAATTATGTATGATTTTTTTTTAATTGGATTTCGTTTCGTCTCGTGATGATTATACACCTTTTTTTCACCTTTTTTTGGTAATTTTCTCAGTTTTTCCATCATACCCGTTAATTATTGGACGCCACCTTATAGAGCGTGACTAGTGGTTGTTCGAAAATAGAGCTCTGTCACTGGAATTATTGTTAGAACGTAGTGAAATTTTATGTAACTTTTTATATAATCTTTACAATTAATGTTGATTCTTTTTCTGAAATATAATACTAAATTAATGACTGCTAGTATTTTATATTCACATTTGATAATTAAATTGCTAAGTAGGTGATTGTATATTTGAGTAATAAATTCGCAAAATATTGGACCTTATTACAAATTTCAAAATTTAACAAACGTTGGCAGTATATGGGCTAGTGTACGTGGCGGATTTAATGAAGAAATTTGATATCAAGAGACTGGTATTTCGACATTTTGTTTTACGCTTTTAAAAAAAAGAGTTTACTTATATTAATTAGAGTTCATTTTAACAGTCTTTTTTTTCGATTTTCGAACATTATCGTCGTTCTTGTTTATGTAGCGGTTTAACACGAAGCATCTTCATTCTTTGGTTGCAGGTTTGTTCCCCGCATGATATAAATATTCATGAGCTTGTTTTTATTGGTCTGCGAATTGTCTATATGCTGTTATATACTTTTTTTTTGTGATTATTTAAAAAAAATATTTAATATTTCATATTAAATACTTTTTTTTATATCAAGCGTTATATAAGCTACTTCAAATTCAGAAACTACTTACACAGTTTGCTTAATACGATACTAGATGGCGGTGTGCGATACATCCAGGCTTATTAATTTATGGTGTCTAATTTGTGGGTGACGGTTAATTTGCAGTGGAGTTTATTAAACTGCGCAGCGGTTCATTATTAATGATAAAGGACAAATACTCATATTGTCGACAGCACTATTTAAAATATGGCGAGAGATGGCAATGTACCAAACGTATCACGACAAATTGCAAATGTTACATCATAGTCGGACCAGAAAAAACCGTAGTGGAAAGCGATGAATGTCATAATCACGAACCGACTAGATACTTCAAAAATGCAGATGGTACCTATATAAGGTTATGAAGGAAAAAAGATTGATATAAACTTTAATAATAAGATTTCGTTCTAGAAGGCAACGATAAAAGATATGAAAATGATTTTAAGCCGATTTTCTTGAATACATCTGTTTGGTACGCGTAATAAGAACAAATTATAATATATTTATTAAAAAGATATTGATATTGGTTGTCATTCTTAGTCATATAAAAAATAGATGTTAATAAATTATTTAAATTATTCTAAAAGTTTTAATGTGATTCACTTATACTTACCATAAATTCAATGCATTCCAGTATCAAATTTCGTACAATTGTTTCATCTAATTGCCGTGTGGTCCCGGTGTAGAATGGACCATTCCTTTATTTTCCGTGAGTATCGCAAAAGGTGACTAAGAGAAATTGTTGTATTAGCCGTTAACTATTGAATATATTCCCCCTAAGGGGGTTTTGCTAGTAGTTGCAACGCATGGCAGGCGAACTGGCAACCGCAGTTAGGTTTTGGAGATGTTTTAAGAGATACGCTGCTGCCCAACCCTCATCCCCTCTTAGTCGCCTCTTATGACATGCACGGGTAAGGAAGAGGTGGCGTGAATTTACAGGGTACAGAGGAATAACACCCAAGTCCTCAGGAAGGGCAACGCATGGGGGTATCAAAGGGCGGAACAGTATACTCTGTTGTGTCCATGGGACTGCTCATGTGTATAGGCGACGGTTACTACTTTCCATCAGGTGGGCCGTCAGCTTGTTTGCCATTTTAAGTTGTATAAAAAAAAATGTATGTATGTATAATGTATTTATTTTCTTTTTCCAGTCAAATTTATCAAAACGAGACTGCCTAAGAATAGAAGATTGTTGATGCTAAACAATTACACTTACAGTCAGCATTTCGATTTGCGTTTGGGGGTGCGCTACAGATGTACACAGGAGAAGTTGAAGTGTAAAGCTTCGGTGATCTATGACGAGAATACTGGAACACTGGTTAAAGTTAACGACAACCATAATCATGAACCGCCAGAGTACTTTTGTGACAAAGCAGGTTATTATATAAAATTGTAATTTAGTTAACGTTAAACTTTCACGTTGTTTACACATATTTTAAATACACTATCTAGATTTAACGCGATAAACTTTTAACCATATAAATAGTACCTACATACCTACTTCTGTATTGTCGACGTTTCCCAAGTCCTATTGTGACCACGACGCGATGTAATTCACGTCGAAACGTTGGCAATAAAGTAGCAGATACCTGCTTCTTTATTGCCAACGTAGTTAGTATTTACTTGCAAAAAAATTTCATAGCTTTAAGTACCGTTAGTGTATTTAAAATAGTAATTTGTCTGTCGTGGGTAAGGATGGCTCCAGATTCAGTACATTTCACGCTTGTGAAGTAATCACGCGATACACATGGGTCTGGAAACGTCCTGATTTTTTTTACATATTATTGTTGTATCTTATGGCTTTAGCTAGATTTGTTTTTGTTTTACATTAATATTAGCTCAATAGAATTTTTAGGTCAAACATTCTTTACTACTGGTTACGCATTATTACTAAAGAATGTAAGTAATAATCTATAGTAGTAATAAATATTGTTTAGCTTAGTAAACAAATTTATTACATTAATTTTATTTATATATTTTTATTTTTAGGAGTTTTTTTTTTGTCCTGACAACTCCAGTGTTAATTTTACTTTATTATGCAACTTCAGTGAGTTCTATCCTGAATCGTTTCTTCCAATTCTCCACACTACTAAAAATCCAGCTTAACTTGCGTTTGACTTGTATAATTTATTCTTTACTCCTTCTTTCTTTGATATTTTTATTAAGTTATTATGTATATTACCGTAGTTTTAACACCTTGCATCTTCTTAATTTAGTTATTTTTATAATATCTCATTTACACTTCTCAACTCAATACCTTCTCTTTTGTTGTTTTCCAGTCTAGTTTATCTTTCCCACTATTCAAAAACTCCATTTTATTTTTCTATTTCTGTTATTTCTTATCGTTAAAGCCATATATACTCCAAATGTTATTATATATAAACTTCTCACGGAATTCCTTTGATCCTATCCTTATATCCTTAAGGTAAATCTCCTATTATTTTACGCCCCTTTTGCGATTTTTATTATGGATCCAATGTCTAATACACACTTAGTATAATTTGCCATTCTACATCCTAGATTTGAAGATCTTAACGTTTCAGTCAAACAAATAATTGTATTGTTAAGAATTTTGTAAGTACACATTATATTTTAATGTAATAACTATCTATCGGATTAACTTACGTCTCTTATTGTCGAGAAAGCTCTACTAGTTTCGGGACCATCCGGGTCCTTAGTCATGAGTTTTTTCGACTAAAATACACATGAGTTAATCCGATAATTACTACATACAAAAAATTAAATTAAATTAAAAAATAATTAAATTTATTTTAATACTGCAAAGAATATTGGATTAATTACATATTTTTGTATAATTTAATAATCAATTTACAGTTGATTTCTTCATGACACCAAATAGCAAGAAAGTAGCGATGTATAAAGGACATTCGTATTACAGACAATGTCGCCTCAAGTCCGGGGAACGCTGGCTGTGTATTTTTCATACGAGAAAAGTTAAATGCAATGCTTATTTGGTTATTGATGTGAACGGTTTTGTATTAAAAGTAAATAATAATCATGCACATGATCCTGCGAAATTTTATCAAAGTAAAGAAGGGTATTATATAAGAATTTATTAAAAATACATGGCTTAGTCACTTGGGATAAAAATTAAATGTGATACTAAATTATATTTCAATCAAATTAGTCAGAATTGCCTCTATCCCGCGGCTTTACTCGCTTGAATTAGTGCATAAAGAGTCCTATGTGCTACGTTAGGATATATCCTACTCAAATACTAAATTTCATTTAAAATCGTTTAGCAATTTTTCGTGAAACAGTAAGAAACTTTCGTGTCTATAATTTTGATAGGATTATAGACACTTGCTCATCAACTTCATGTGCGGCACTTTCTCGCAAGTGTGCGAAATCCTAGAGCACTAAAAGGTCAGGATGCCATTAATAGTGTAACCCACATTGGTGTTTTTTGTAATAAATGGAATGGCAACTCCACCTGCGCTATCAGTTGACGCTGGCAGGATACCAGTGAGGTGGAAGGAGATTAGTTGGCCCATCGTGATAGATTGATCAAAAATTAACCACATAGTCTCCATGGATATCGCATGGTGGGTGACCTGTTACAGTATATTGCTAATACTGGATCCATTACATCTCGTTACTAACAATCCCTTTTCCCCAACCCTGGTGGTTAGCGGAGAAGCCAGTGCTCGTTGGCACATACGTTTGTCGATCCGCACGAGTGCCGCTCATGAAGTAATCGGGCTGCTACTACTAATGCAAATACATAGGATTAAATCAAAAGGTTCAGAAAATATTTTATTAATGTTCTTCGGGAAAGGTTTCCTTGAATTTTATTGCTATGTATCGGATTCTTACATTTTTCAGTCTTCGTAATCTTTCTTGCTTTATTACAAATTTTATTTGATTACCTTGTACATTTAAAAATAGATATTTACATAAAAATTATTTGACACTACGTAAGTTAAATTATGTAACAAATAATAAGTATTTTTTAAACCCATTATTTTAAATATTTTTAGTTGAATAACTATATCACATTTATATTATTTATTTATATACAAACCTAATTGATCAATTTTAATTTATAAAAATTTAATGCAATGATGTTTATACATACTGCACTTAATTTTTTATTTATAATTTAAAATTTACCAATTCATTTTGTATTAAATGTATCATTTTAGTAAATTATAGTTACTTTCTTTACAAATATTGAAATTAATAAATTTCTGACTGTAAATATAGATAATTTTGAATTGTTTGTATTAAAAAAGTGTTTATATGTATTTAAAAATCTTTATCAGTTGTCTATGTTGCATTGTATAAAGTTCTGATAATTTGGGACTAGATGGCGTTGTGTGTACTTTTTGTGTCCTAAATGATTTTTTTCCGCTCTAGTCGTATTCATTATCACGAACACAGAATATATTTTAATTATTTAACTTTCAAATGTATCATAAAATTAAGTTATACTTAAAAATATTGAATTTAATAAATTGTTGACTACAAATATTTGTATTAATGAATATGTACCAGAGGGAGATTTTGTACAAAAGTCGATTGCTTGGGTATCTCTGTCTCATTCGTATTTCAACTGTGAAGCAGTTGTGTTTGCATGGCTGTGTTTCGGTTTGAAGGGTGGGATATGGCGCGAATTTACTGCGTACAGAGGAATAACACCTGAGTCCTCGCAATGGCAACGCATGGGGCGTATCATGGGCGAAACAGTATACTCTGTTATGTACTGCTCATGTCTAAAGGCGACGGTTAAACTTTCCGTCAGGTGGGCATCAGGGCCGTCAGCTTGTTTGCCATTCTAAGTTGTATAAAAAAAATATATCACATTGTATTAGTCTGGATATATTATATATACGAGTATAATATGAAGGTATGTATTTATCAGTTATCTAATACCTACAGCAAAATGATTCTGCTTGGTTTATGTCTAGATGGCGCTGTTTATGTACTTTTCTTGTCCTCAATGAATGTTTTCGTTCTAGTCTTATTCATAATCACGAACGCCGGAAAGAAATTGGTGATGCGCAATAATTTTACGTACCGCAAACATTGCGAGTTGAAGTCTGGTGTGAGGTTGCAGTGTACCTCGAGTGTCTCGAAGCGTTGCAATGCCTACCTCATCGTGAATGCTCTAGGAAAAGTGGTGAAGTCCAACGAAGTCCACACACACCTCGCAGCTAATTATCACCGCACTGCCACTGGCGCGTACGTTAAGATTTAAAGGTATATTATTACTTCGGCCATATTGCTCGCAGAGTCAAGAAAACTTAAGAAGAATTACTGATAGTGAGCTTAGAAAACAAAAAAAATGTGAAGACCGAATACCAAATGTATAATAGGTGCAGGGAGCTTAGAAACTAAAAGATCTAAAGCTTCAATACTTTATAATAACAGTTAGCAATGGGTAAGAAAGCAAAAGATCTTAAAGAATACTAAAACGATGCTCAGATCAAGTATCGGGAAAACAATAGAAGCCTAGCCAAGAAGAAGTACACCAGGTAACGATTGTAACAAATGGAGGCAGTAAGAGTACATTGATGCTTTAAGATGGAGCCAAGATCAGCAATGTAAGATGGAGCCAAGATCAGCAATGAGAACATGATAAAAAGTACTACTGCGAGGGTGGAGTGTCAAGAGTTTCTAAATCATCTTTCTTGTACTTGAAGGTTTCAGTACTGATTTACCGAATGACGGCTCATCATATTCTCCGAAGTAAAGAGGGCAGAATGTAAAGTTATTTTAAATTGATGTTCGGCTTTCTTTTTTGAGGTGATGCCTAAAAGAATGGGTTCCCAATTTTATGTTTTTTGTGTGTATATATCACACAATATCTTCTTTCCTTACTCTAAATCTATTTTATTATAAATTATTATTTATATTTATATATTCATATCCACAGATCTTTTAATTTTAAATTTCGTTGTCGTGTTTTGTTGAATGTTTTTTGTGTGTATATATCACACAATATCTTCTTCCTTTACTCCAAATCTATTCTATTATAAATTATGATTTATATTTATACATTCATATCTATAGATCTTTTAATTTTATATTTCTTTGTCGTGTTTTGTTGAATGTCTTTTTTGTGTATATATCACACAATATCTTCTTCCCTTACTCCAAATCTATTTTATTATAAATTATGATTTATATTTATACATTCATATCTATAGATCTTTTAATTTTATATTTCTTTGTCGTGTTTTGTTGAATGTCTTTTGTGTGTATATATCACACAATATCTTCTTCCCTTACTCCAAATCTATTCTATTATAAATTATGATTTATATTTATACATTCATATCTATAGACCTTTTAATTTTATATTTCTTTGTCGTGTTTTGTTGAATGTCTTTTGTGTGTATATATCACACAATATCTTCTTCCCTTACTCCAAATCTATTCTATTATAAATTATTATTTATATTTATACATTCATATCCACAGATCATTTAATTTTGAATTTCTTTGCCATCTTAAAGATCTGATGATAATAAATCCAAATAGCTTCGAAGAGTCCATAAATTGTAATAAATATTTTAATGTATAATAATTATTATATCAATTATTGTTAAATGTTTATTAATATAATAAATGCTTGTTTACTGTCGTCGAAAAATATTGTATGAAATTAAAAATATCCTTCTATGCGTAATTGCGTAATTTTTTTAAATATATAATTACTGATTAATTTCAGTTATTGACTGCCCACTGCTGAAATATATTCTTCTTCTAGCCCTTCCCATAGATTGCCACAAGAACTGGCTCTAAACCATTCGCCATTCGATGTTAAAATGGTTAAGATAGCTTTACGGCTTTGAATATTTCCTTTTAGGCCATCTTTAATATCTATTACTCTTATTGAAATGAAAATTCTAATGATAATATTAATTAATATTATATTAATAATTATTATATATTAATTATTAATAATTATTAATTAATTATTATATAAACCATAATGTATCACCAACCATTACTAATATAAACGTTTCGAGGTTTATATTAGAGATAAAATATTCGGTAACACAATATCTGGCCAAATACTAGATTTAAAAAAAAATATTATAATATATTAAAATTATAAATGAATCGTTGTAAGGCAAATCCTTACTAATAGTATAAATGTGAAAGTGAGTTTGTTACCTTATTAACTCCTTAACGGCTTAATCAATTATTATGAAATTTGATGTAAACAGAATATGGGAGTAGCATATAGGCTATTTTTTATTCCAGACAGTAAATATCGGTCATGTGGAGGAAGTCGAGGATAAAAGTTAGTATTAACCCTTAAAAGCCTGATTTTTTAAATCAAATTCATAAATATATTACCTATATACCTTTTACTGTGTTTACTAATTGGGAAAAATAGTAAAAAAAATCAAAAGGATATTTTTATATATTTATTTAAAAAAAAACATTTGGTAACATGTAAACAGCCAAATATATAAAATAAAATCGATTGTAGGCGTCTAATGCGACTTATAACCCCGGTATCAAATTTGAAACTTCAGGTATTTAAGGGTTAAAAGAATAAAGGCTGACGAATCCATTGGTTTTGTGTAAATAGACTTCGGTAATCATTTACTGTCAGGTGAACCGCAAGCTAATATAGCTGATAATTATGATTTCTTTTATTTTAAAGTAAAAGAAGAAAATATAGAGAACACTTAAAAAATAACCTTTAATGAAAAGTGGCTTTCAAAAGGCGGTTTATATTAGCGATTACGTCGCCATTGAACTGAACTGATTTTCACAAAATTGGTTCAGGATTGGCCGGTATCGGAATAAATGACTATCCCTTTCATCTCTGGTTTATACAACGACTAGCTTTTTCCCGCAACTTTGTTCACGTGACCGGACATGTTCACTTACTCTGGAATAAAGAAAATTATAAGTAAGTACTGATTTGATTTGATTTGCATCAAGTAAAATATTTTTAACTAAATCACTCGCCACTCGTATGCACTATTGAAGCCATGGACTTAGTATACTGTACTACGCACTAAATTGAAGCAGTGCGAATAAAGCTTAATATAACTAACGCTTGGTCTTAATATTATATAGATAGATTATATATTGAGCCTCAAAAACGGATTAACTTTTTGTCAGCTAATTGTCAAATTAACTGACTTGTTTTTTATTAGTATTCTACGTACTTATACAATGTATCTTGACGTTTAATTTTTTAATCAATAAAATTAATTTTTGTGCATTAAAAAGGTACAGAATATAATTAATAATATGAGACAAAATAAATATAGAAGTTATAAAGGAAGCACTTATAACTATTTATCACGTAAAATTGTATGAAAAAGTTGACCCGTTTTTCTCGATGCTTTTGTATGGAGACACTCTATTTATATAATCTAAGACTAGGAATAATAGTAATAATTGAATCTAGAAGTGTTGATTTTAGTTTTAATACGATAAATTACTAGCACACCCCGGACATAAAAAAACGCCACGATCCGTGATTGTCACAACTACATGTAACGTCTGTACATGTTAAGATGTGTGCGTGTGTAGTTAGGGATAGCACGCCCTTCGATGTATTTTATAATCTCGATTGAGATGCGACGTTTATTCTCTTCAAACCTCATAAATAATATACCCTATCCTTCTCTGACATTGGCGGCTATTATAGCGTAGACTAGAGACATACATTAGAGTATGGGAGCTATAGCGTACTTCATAGGGGGTGAGGTCAGATCTCCTTTATGGGGTAGATTTACGTTCAGTAGTGGATAGTTAACGGCTGAAATGATGATGATGATAATGGCGGCAGGAATGTCTATACTGTACTACTTCAGTACTATTATACTGTGCTGCTAGTTTAGTATCTACAAAAGGATAATATTATAAAAAATAGTTCTTCATTTACAGCTGCACATACATACATTCAAACAAATAGTGGGAAAATACTACTTATGCTTGACCAGTTCCCATATTCCAAGCACCAAAAGTTGGTGGATGGCGCCCAGAGATGGCGTTGCACGATACGTCATTGTAAAGCTCACGTCATAACGAATCGTAAGGGTGTTATTATTAAATGTCAAAATTCACACGACCATAAACCGATGCAGTATGTATGCACACAAGGAGGTCTCTATGTTAGAGTGTGAATTCCATTAGATACTTTTTTATGGATGGTCGCACGGGTGGACATTTTTACATTTTAAAAAATGGCCATTAAAGGTTTATAACTTAAAAATTTATGTTTTTTATTTCTATATAACATCTAGGTCTATGTAAGTGTAAATTCTTTTACTACTACCTTTTTCTTACCGTATTCCTTTATTCATGAAAACTAGAACCTTCTAAAACCTATTTTTACTATTGGTGCATTTTGTCACTTAAATTAAGAATGTACCTAAAAAAAAATGTTAAATATAAAAAAAAATTGATTTGAAATGTAGATAAAACTTAACAAAAACGAACTTTAATAAGTGAAACTTTATATAATGAAACTCTTATTATTTATTGATGAATGTAGTCTTATATTATGGATAATCTAATAAATAAAAAAGTCAAAATAAATTGTCGAAAATTTTATATTGTTTGTCTGCGAATTGTAAAGGTATTACTATTTTTATATAGCTGTAGATGTATTCATAGAATGAGGCGAAAATTATCTATGACCTTCATTCCAAATACAACGTATGTATGCTAAACATGGCAATTTGTTGAATCTTTAAAACTTAAGAAATAACAAATAAATTCTATTTACATTATTTATTGTCAATGTTTGTGAAGACGTTTCCAAGTTTATTAATCATTAACTCTCAGACGCCTGAACGGATTGTAATGATATTTGGTACATAGATGGGTCAAATTATAAATATACACATAATATTAGTTCTAATTCATTCCAATTTCACTAAAATGAGTGTAAAAATTAGGATAAAAGAAGAAGAAGAGAGACTTAATTTTAGTGTGTGACTTTACAATATTCATGTATTCCTTAATCTATAATATTAATAATGCAATTATTTTATTCAAAGTTAAATGTAATATGAAAAGTGCATTTATATTTTACAGCAACTATGATTCTTACGAACAATGGCAAACATTTATTAATGTTCAACCAGTACGTGTACTGCAAGCATTGCAATCAGAAACAAGGTATACGATGGAAGTGCACAAGGAACGCATCGCGCAACTGCAATGCGTATGTGATTGTTAATGACGCGGGTATAATTGTTAAAGGAAAAGGCGTTCACACACACGAGCCTCCCAAGTATCACAGGAATCTGGACGGGACTTATGTTAGACTTTAAAGAAGATTCTTTTTTACGGTCCAGTCAATGTACAGTGTTTATAAATATGCAAAAATATACAGGGATTATTGGCAAATAGAATAAAAAAAATATTTAACAGCTTGTTGAAACGATTTTTTTTTCGGGTACCTTTTATGGTTGATACATTTCAAGAGGTACACGTTCATAAACTAAAGTATAACTATGTATTTGATCTATATTTCTTTCTTTTTTATTATTATTTTTTTAGTGGTATTTCGCGGCGCACTTTTGGCCACAATAGAATATCAGTGTTTTGCTCTTTTTAGGGCAAAGCAAAAAGCTGAGTTGTGGCCATTTTGCATTACTGTGGCACACGCATGAAGAAAAAAAATTTTATTATGTATTCTGATTATGTTTTTGGTTTTATTTTTTTTTAATCTTTTGTACATGTATCTTTTTTATCTTTTTTCACATTGTTTTTGTATCTTTTGCTGTTTGTGTGCTGTGCTGTAAGTTATGCAAATAAATTATCTATCTATCTATCTATCTAATATTCAATAGTGACACTTTTGTGATTATCACTGTATAATTTTGTATATTTGTGATATGTAAATAATCATGTAAACTCTAAAAGAAATACGAGATAAGAAAATTACCTTTAATTTTGATAAATGTTTAATTCTAGTATATTTTTTTATTTTGATTAGCTTTTTTATATACAATATACATTGACTACGTCCAGATTCTGCACTGTCACGAAATATCTTTTTTTAGTAATAATTAAAAAATAACATGTGAACATTATTAATGTCTTATTTGCAATATAATTTTGGTAATATAGTATAGTACCTTAAACAACTAAAAGAAAAATAAAAAGTAATAGATTTCAAATTATTTTTATACTTTAACTGTTCTTCTTGAAAGTTGTTTTAAATTTTCGCTTTTACAATAGCACTTTTTTAATCGTATCTCTCACTTTTAATTTAAGAGTTTCCTCTTGTCGGTGCAACTAATTCATTAATTTTCTTCTAGCTAGCTCTATTCTATGTCATAATACGATGTGACGCATAGTGTTTCTTTTATCTGTTCCATGTAGTAATTCCTAGGTCTTCCCCTTCCTCTTATGCCCTCTATTTTTCCTTCAATTATGCTCTTTAAAAACTCATGTCGTACGAGTATAAGGTGGCCCAGAATTTTGCCTCTTCTACTTTCTATTGTTTATTTGTTTATTTTGTTTGTTTTTATTATTGTTCTTTTCTCATTCACCCTTTTCAAGACTTCCTCATTCGTTACTTTTTCTGTCCAGCTTATCTTTTCCATTCTCTTCCATGTTCACATTTGAACCGCCTCATTCCTTGTCATCGTTTCCGTTGTTACTAAATCCAGTTTACCACTTACAAAGCAAAATTACCATATACACGTTATTTAACCACCATATCGTTAATTAATTACAGTATCATGTGATTTGAAATGCTTTAAATTTCTTTTAACCATTTACAAAGGAAAGTCTCAATTCGGCTATATTATTTTTTGTTTGTTACCTCATAATTCTGTTAGTTATTAACCGTTTTGTATAATTGTTTTTGCATTATTTGCATTATTATTTTATACAAAACAACTGTTTTTGCCACCATTAAAATTGGGTTTTTTTATATTATTATTATTGTGTAACACAATCTTATTTTTTTTTTGGGCTCAAAAAAGGATCTTTTATTTTAAATTATTTATGTAAATTATATGATACATTATATGAAAATTATTACTAGATTATGTTTTGTTGTACAGCATGTAAAATGATTCAGACGAATGTTGGAAGAACACTACTTCTGCATAACGAGTACCCATTTTCCAAACACCAAATATTGAAGTCTGGTGCTCAGAGGTGGCAATGCCCGAAACGCCCCTGTAAGGCCTACGTAATAACCGATCACCAGGGTTTTGTTTTTAAATTTAAATACTCACACAACCATGAGCCGGCGCGGTATGTACACACAGATGATGGTATTTATGTGAAAGTGTAACGTGTAAGTTAGATAACAAGAAAAAACTGACCTAAATATATATATATATATATATATATATATATATATATATATATATATATATATAATGGAGACGACCTTCGTAGAGCTGTGATAGACACGTTGCTTTTCGCAATAAGGTCTCGGTTCGATATCTAATCAAGCCAATTTAGAAAAAGAATTATTTTTAATTATATATTTATTTATTATTATCTTTTTTTAAATCTCCAGACTTATGTCTGGTTGTACTGGGTTGTGCCTTTAGATATTAAATTCATTATTATAATACCTATGTATCATTTATAATAATTAGATCATATTTTTAATGTAATCTACATATACAGCATAAATTATATATCACCCATATCATATATGTATATCACCCGAACGAAATGGATATGTAGTTACACTTTGCAATAGAACATACAGTAATACTAACCTATCTGTACATACATAGATTGCTAAAACATAACTTTCTCTTTGGATTTGCCGTAGTTTGGTAAAATTTGTATTTTGTATTACGAATATTAAAAAAAAAACATTACTTTTGCATTGTTGACATACAGTTTTAAGTAGATTGGATATGTTCATTTGTATCAGAAAACGCTGCAGTGAAATAATTATACTAGTATATATATATATGAATCAAGATATTCTTTAAATAAATTCTGCATTTGTTATGTTTTTTCTTTTGTAGTTATATTTTATAAAATCAAGATTTCCATTTCAAAATACTAAAATAATTAAAGTCAAAAACTTTTCCATTCCAAGTAAAATGCCATAAACCTATATCTTACAAAGGTCTTTTCTCCTTCACATTGCATAATACATAAATTGTTATTTTTAATAATATATTTTTAATTTGAATTAAAAAACCGTTTGGTTCCAAGTACAGATGGGCAAAGCACCGGGTTTAAACCCGGTGCTTTGGTAAAAAACCAATAAACACCCATAAACTCCCATAATCACCCAAAAAAATAGGTTTTTACGTATTTTTTTGAAAATATGTAAGTAATACCAATAAATTATTTTTATAAATTGTATTGATCAATTCTACAATATTAAATAAAACGTTAACTAATAATATTTCAGGAAATTTTAAAAATCTATATATAATAAAATGAAAGTAATTAATTTTCAGTGTTTTCATGTTGCAGTTGATCAACATGTTGGCCTTTTGCTTCCCGTAGATACTTTAAAATTTCTTCATAACACCTCGTTCGCACACATGGCCGTATATATTTAAATTCTTGAGCCACTAACAGTCCGAAATACTCATTTCTTTTATCCTCTTCTCCATAAATTAAGCATTTAGAACAGTTTGTTTCTTCTTTCAGTAAATTTTCTTTTACTTTATCCTCGTTTTTTTTCTTTGTTGCGACGACGCTGGGTAAATCATCTGGACACTGGGTCTCACTATCGCCAAATATATTTGGAGATCGGCTTCGGCTACGGCTTGGCAGACATTTTTTTCTTTCTACAATTTTAAATTAAATTTATTAGAATAAATGCTTCGAACACACGCGATCTAAGTACCTTTTGTGTTTATTATACCTTACCTACCTAGGTATAAAAAGAGTCCTTACGTAGATTTTCTTTTATTAACTGTTTTATACGAAGATCTTGATCTCTCAAATTAGCATCCATTTTACTTCCAGTGATTATCAACTAAATTAATAATCCACAAAGTATTAAATAACGTTTTTATGAAATATTTAGCACAAAAACAATACCCTTTAAATATCGATCGTCAGTAACTGTGGCTGACTTACCTATATTCTAGCAAGCAGGACTGCCAGATGTGAAGGGGAAATCCCCAATAAATTGTTGCATGTGACTGATGATGTGAGCATGTTCGTTTCATAATAAAAATGTTGCCAGGTAACCAAAAAGTCGTATGTTTTTGTGCGAATTACGATCATAATCTTTACGATCGTACATTAAAAAATAGACAAATAATAGTATGAGTACGATTTAAATCGTATATCTGTCAACCCTGCTAGCAAGACAGCGACAAAATCACGTTGCATAACAATGTAGCCCAAGCTTATATCTTATGAAATATACGGAAGAGATACGGACTTAGAAAAAACAGAAATGTTGTTCTTTGTGGAAGTCATTGATGAAATTCTATGTATTTTAGCCCGCAAACTTTCTTCAAACAAAAACAGCGCCATCTAGTATCGAGTTCTGTAATTATCTCTTTGTTTATGGATTTGAAGTAAGACCGCCACGCATGCAATACATTATGACTGGGGATTCCCCTATTCGTCGACGCTGAATATGAGGCGACGACAATCACTGTCAAACGTGTTCACTATTACTCTGACTCTGGTAACGTGACTTCCTGGTAACGTGTTAGGTAGGAAAAGCAGTAAAAAAGTGCATATTAAGGGAGCAGATTTGAAATAATATTTATACTTAACAAGAAATAATTAAAGGTAAGTGGATTTTTGAATGATACAATTATATCATGATCACTTAACAATTTTAACTTAAAATTAGATGTATTATTACAAGCTTTTATTTAGCTTGCGTTATGTAAATAAAAGTATGTAGGTATGTTCGTATGTTGATGCAATTATCCTCAATCCTCAACCGACTGGGATAAAATTTTCCATACACGTTTATTTTGGATGATAGTGCATAGTTAGCTGAGAGTCGTCATTGGATAATAATGGTGGATAGCCTAAGATGTGTACTAGATATTTATTTTTAACATAATATGCGTAAGTACCTAATCGAATTAAAGAAGTTGCTGAGAAAAATACAGAACAATACGATAATAAACTAGCGTCTGCGTTTAATCCTCCGAGGAGATGTAATTTTACAAAGGTTTTTTGTATTTATTTTATTATTTTTTTAATAAATTTATTGTAAATAACAAGAAATAATCATTGTAAAAAAATAGGCACTCTATTGTTGAATTTTCGTCAGACCAACTAATCATCGTTCATTTTTTTAGGTTCAATGGGGAGACCTAAAGATTTACGCATATGGGAGCAC